AGGAAAGTTTGGGGCTGGAGTGATGAAACTTTCCCATTACAAAGGGTAGTTTGTCTGAAGGAGAACAGGTCAAGCTTTAGAAACGTAAATGGATTTCATACAGCACAGATAGGGATGAAATAACTGATGGTATCGGTGGCAAAGGTTCAGGAAGGCCGACATCTTAGTTCAGGGCACGTGGACCTGGTTCTCTACGCCAGAGTTCTTCCGCCTGCCGCGCTCCACCTTAAGCAGAAACCTGCACCAGGCCGACTGCGTCCTCTTCCTGAGCACCCGCGCTCATATCCCGCAACTTCTTTTTTTAGTGGACATGCTGGAGAGTCAAATTCAGGGCCTCATACGAGCACCCTGTTGCCCAGTGTCCTCCTTTATCCTAGATTCTTTCATGATGTCCCGAGTTTCACCTTGCAAGTTTCTCTTGAACTTGACACCCTCCACCTTAACTATGTACCGGGAATGACTGGCCTGCCGGTCGTCCTTAGTTACTGGTCACCTACTGCTCAAGGAGTTCGGTCACTTTTTCATCGATCTGGGTAAGTCAGAATCACCACCAGATAAGCAACAAGTCAGAAGCCGCTAGCAATGCAGTTTTGAAGTCATGGCTAACGCCGAGTCTACGCGGACCGGTTGTGATGGGTATGTGGAAGTGGTCACCAAAATCCAGATCGGCACAAAAGGATTCCAGGAGAGTAAGCTATTATATTCACTTTCAGGAACCCCAGAATAAGAACTAGAATAACCCTTTCTAGCCTCCCCTTGCCGGCCAGTTTGTACGTTGTAATCCCCCTAGGCCATGTCAGGAGCCGCAGCGGCAGAGCAGATTGGTGCCATGTCTGTGCCTGTTACCCATGGAGGCCTGAAGAGGGCATAGGATCCCCTGGAACTGGAGTTAGAGATGGTTGGGAACCACCATGCAGCTGAGTATGTACCAGAGAAGGTGAAGAAAGCGGAAAAGAAATTAGAAGAAAATCCATATGACCTTGATGCTTGGAGCATTCTCATTCGAGAGGCACAGGTTTAGTGATATAGGATTACATTTCCTTCTCTATGAGTCCAATCACACTACTTGATTCTGCAGTAATATTTTTATAGTCCTAACATTGTAAACGCTGTTTATTGGTTTTCAATTTTAGAATCAACCTATAGACAAAGCACGGAAGACTTACGAGCTCCTTGTTGCCCAGTTCCCCAGTTCTGGCAGATTCTGGAAACTGTACATTGAAGCAGAGGTTAATATTTTACTTATTTTTTCTTATATAGCATCTGGTGGGACTTACAACTTACACTATAGTTTTAGAAAAGAAGTTAGGAGTGTAGTATAATCAGGACAAGGAGGATTTAAATGTCTCTGCCTTTATTTTGTAAAATAGGTATGAAGGAGTAATTAAAATGACTTTGAAATTTGGGTCGTTCACAAGCTGATGATTGTTGCATTTTGGAGTTGCAACAACATTAAAACAGTTTCAATGGTGTTGGAGTGCTTTAGCCTTTTAAAAAAAAAGAACTAGAATAAGTTTCAGATTTTGATATATTTATATTTATACTACAAAATTAGAATTTTATACTTATATTTATACTATTAAATAAGAACAGTCAAATCTTAAAATATTAAGGCTCTTGATGTTTCTAATCATTATTTTCTACTTCTTATCACTTACAAAGAACACTCAGCCATCTTGGAGCAAATTGCTGGGGAACGGACTGGAAGCTTAGCATCATGACACTCCACTGTGATTCAGCAAATCTGTGTGTTCATTTATGCCGGGGAATCTCATTTTCATGAAGGAGTTAAACTCCTATGCAGTACTGGAGCTTAATCACTCTGGGATGAGATAGTTTTCTTCTGTTTTCCAACGCAATTACTCTTTGTCTTGGGTCTAATTGAATTCACTTTCCATGTTAGTGGGGGAAGAGGAGTGGGCGGAGGGCTGTAGCATCTGCTACAAGACAAACTGTGTACACCGTAGACCTCACAGCACCCAAAACCAAACCAAACCCAAAACCAACTCGAATCTGATAAAAGGTTTAGTAGTCAGCGGTGTGGCAGGGGAGGGGGAGTTGAGCCACCAGAAACAGGATTTCGAATATGGAAGACACCAAAGATCCTGCAGGAGAAACATTCCTATTTTAATTTATAAGGCACCTTGGGATTCTTTGGCTGGAAAGCACCATATAAATACCAGCATTTTCATTTCACGTGGGAGATCACAGATTGTTGACGTTTCAGCATGAACACTATTTCAGCAGTCAACGGGATCTAAAGTCTTACGTGGATCTGGTGCGGCTGCCTCTGGCTTGCAGCCTCCACAGCAGAGCGTGCCGTGCTGTGTGCCTCCCTTCCCTCTTCGAAAGTTCCGGCCTCTTCCATCTGCCTTTGTTCTCACAGGCTACAGTATGGAAGGCAGGGAACATTCATCTTGGTATTTTTGGGGTGGACAGAGCTCTCTACCCTCAGGATTTCTGGCACCAAAGGGAAGAAAGTCTCTGAATGTCATAGGAGGGGGAAGAGGGAGGCTGTCGCTCTGTGGCACATTAATACTCACCACAAAGAAGAGACTGCTATTAACTAAAGGTTCTTTGAAGGTTCTTTAGGCTATGACAGATAAATAGGGATTATTTGGAAATCTGGACCATGCAACCACATGTTTGGATCAATTTGACAAACATTTGTTGGATATCTAATATATGCTGCAACCTGTGAGGGACATTAAAAAAAAAAATTAAAGACCCAATTCTTGTCCTCTGGGAGGCCCTAACCCATTGGAGAAGCCCGTCAGTGTACACTGTAATATAATGCAAGGCAAATCGTGGTAGCAGCTTCCATAGATGGGACGTGGGGTCGAGCCCATCCAGGTGCAAAGAGGAAGTCATTTAGAGAAGATGGAGTCTGAATGTGCCTTGAAGGACGAGTGTGTGGGTAGAAAGGCTGGAAAAGGCATTTCAGGTAGAAGGTGTAGGACCGGGTTTGGGTACTGATGACTAATTGGGGGTCTGGAGTTTAGGACAGGCATGTCAAGCCTGGGAGGGGACTTGAAAGGGTAGAGTCAGAAATAACATGACCATGGCTTCCAATCTGTTCAAAAAAAAAAAAAAATTGAGCTCCTGAACTGTAGCAGGTGAGAGGACAGATCTGTACTATCATGTACCCTGTGCACTCCAGAGGCTCTGGTTTGATCCTTCAACACCTTCCCATGCCCGCCGCCATCTTTTTTTTTTTTTTTTTGGTGGATGTTTTGTCTTCATGTATGTCTATGCACTGTGTGTGAGGCCAGAAGGAGTGTTGGATCCCCTGGGACTGGAGTTACAGACAGTTATGATCCCGGAATTGAACCTGGGTCCTCTGGAAGAGCAGCCTGTGCTCTTAACTACTGAGTCATATGTAGATCCAGCTTGGCGTAATCTAAGGCTCTGCTGCCCTTAGACAAGTGTGTGATGGAGCAAAGGAGGAAGAGGAGCAGACTGGAGTTTGAAAGGTTGATAGAAGAGGCACTTGCTACCCTGAACCTTTGAGGCAAGGATTAAGATGGGCAGAATGGCTGTGAGTGAGGACTCTGGGTCAGGAGGGCAGAAGGCCCAGGGGAATTGTGGGGATTCTGGAACCAGGAAGAGAAAGTTGACTTGTAAACTGTGTGGGAGCATTGAGGACAGAAATGTCTGCCCTGACTGTGACTGTCATATCTCTTGAGGACAGGGCTTGGTGTCGACGGGAAAGTAATCAAAGATTGAGGGTGATTAGCATGCAACTGTGGGTGCTTGTCCATGGACCGGAAGTTGTACCTCCTATCACAGCGAGACAGTGATGAGAGCTGAGCCTACAAATGAAATGGATCAGAGTCTTCAAGCATTTTCTTCCTTCGTGAATCCTCCATCTAATGTCCATGGAACAGACTGAGATAGTTTCTAGGAACTCGGTGTTACATCCTTTTTTTTTTCTCCCTAACCCTGCTGTATTTCTTGAGTGGCTTCCCAAAACTTTCCTTCTCCCTAAGCCCTGGGCGTCCTGCTCCATGCTCTTGACTCTTGGCATTTGGCTCCCCGCTCCCCTCCCTTCAGATAAAACATCTTTACATCATTACTTCCTCCTGAAACTTAACTGCTTTCCCTAGGGAGTCAATGACCCGCCTGTTTGCCGAGACTGATTCTTGAGTGGAGCTGAATGACTCATTTCTACCTTTTCCAGATCCCATCCTCCCCTCCTCCTCCTCCTCCTCCTCCTCCTCCTCCTCCTCCGCCCCTCCTCTTCTCTCTCCCTTTACCTTTTTCATTTTCTCCCTTTTTATTTTATTTGTTTGTTTGTTTTGTGAGACAAGGTCACTCTCGGGTTTCCGAAGCTGGCCTTTGTCTTCTTGTGAAGCTGATGATGACCTTGAACTTCTGAACTTGTCTGTACCTCCCAATCGCTGGGGTCACAGGCGCACACCACTGTACTCGGTTTATGAGGTGCTGGGGGTCAAACTAAGAGTTCTGTGTGTGCTGGGAAGGCATTCCGTCAACCGGGCTGTGTCCTCAAGGCCTGCCTTTTCTCATTAAACAGTTCAAATCTACCCTTTCCTAAAACAAAACCAAAACCAAAAAAGTCCCTTCTGTTCCTTTCTTTTTAAAAATTGTTTTTATTAGTGTATGTCAATTGTACAAATAATAGATTTCAGCATTGCATTCTCAGGTACTATGATCTGGGCTTGCAAATACCCCCAGTTTCTAGTTCTTTACTATGCACTCAGTCTGAACCCCTAAAATCAGGCTTCCACTTTTTCTAAGCCACTGAAATTTCTCTTACCATATTAACAAAGGCTTTCTTGTTTTGTTCCCTTCTGCCCTCACCATCCCCCCACCAGCCCTACATCCAGAACCTTATAAGTACAGGGCAAGGATGGACAGTTTCTAACCTTCCCCAGAACACTTCGCCTTATGCCTTGCACATGGAAGAGACTCAGAATTTCAGTCGGCTCTGGATCCCTCTTTTTTTTTAAATTAAAAAACCATTACATTTATGGGTGTTTTGCCAGTATGAATGCCTGCACCACGTGAGTTCCCAATGCCCAAGGAGGAGCTCCCAGAACTGGAGTTACAGATGGTTGTGAGCCACTGTGTGGGTGCTGGGAACTAAACCAGGCTCTTCTGGAAGAGTAGCCAGTGATCTTAGCTACTGAGCCACCTCTCCAGCCTCTGAATTTGGATTTCTTCAACCTTCCTTATGGTCTTCATGGCTACTGGCCTTCTTCCAGTGTGAGAGGCAGCCAGCAATGGTCTCACATTGGGCCATGCAGCTTCCTCTAATGAGAGTATAAACTCAGGGAACATCTCATCCTTAGTTGCAAATGACAAGATTCTTTTTTTTTTTTTCTGAATTCCCATTTACCAGGAAATACGATGATTTGTTTTAAGTGTGTGCTAAAACGACAGGACACCAACAGTAAAGAGCTGATATGAGATGCGGATTACAACGACCAATGGGGAGACGGGCAGCTCAAGACAGAGACTCCGAGATACACAGTTGCTTCCCAATGACCCAAACAGAAATCACATCGGAATGTCTTGTATTGTCCAAACACTGTGCTTCTTGTGTATTTTCCCAGGAAGTTCTACAGGTAGCAAAGATATGATATATACCAAATGCTATCCGGGAACCGAGCCAGACACTACCAATATATTGACATGACAACTTTAATACATCAGCTCCTTTTCTGCAGAGGACAGAAGAACACATATCCTGACTTCAAATCCAAAGGCGTAAGGATAATCAATGGGACGGAGGGACGCTTTTTTACTACTATGTTGCCCTTGGGTGTCTTATAGTGCTATGGAATCCCACTAACAGGAAGTGGAGGTCCCTTCTCCCATCTCTCACAGTTTCACTGAGATTCTTAGTGAGGAGCAGCCACGCTCCCACTCAACCTTTCCTGCATGTGCACTCTGAGGATATCCTGTCAATTCTCTCCATGATGCCACTGGTCAAGAAAGCCAGCCATACTAGTAACCTAGACTTTATGGACGTGTGTCTCTAGAGTGAGCCTGGCCCTGCAAAAATGCAAGGGATCCACGAGTTTCTGGGTTTTTTTTTTTTTTTTTTTTTTTTTTGGTTTTTCGAGACAGGGTTTCTCTGTGTAGTTTGGTGCCTGTCCTGGAACTCACTCTGCAGACCAGGCTGACCTCGAACTCACAGAGATCCGCCTGGCTCTGCCTCCCGAGTGCTGGGACTAAAGGCGTGCGCCACCACCGCCCGGCTCAGAGTTTCCGTCTACTACTCAACTACTATCCATTCTGTCACTCTTTTTTTGATTTTTCGAGACAAGGCATTCCGTCACTCTTTGATTCAACAGTTGGGGCAGTGAGTGGAGCGCATGCATGGTGACCAGCACGGGGCTGAGAGCTCAGGTCTGGAGGAGGCAGGGGGTAAACAGTTTCAACACAAGGTCGGCAGTGATTGGAGGAAATCACATCACAGGAAGTTTGTCTTCTTTTAAAAAAGAGA